GAGCACTACAAGACATTATTAAATGACTTAGTGATGTAAGGAGATGGAGGGATATAACATACTCATGGGTGGAGAGAGTCAATATAATCAAAATGCCTATCCTAAGGTGATATGTAAATTCAATGATCCCCATCGAAGTACCAGCAATATTTTTCAAAGATGTTGGACAAAAATATGAAATTTATATGGAATCACACAAGGTCTTGAATTGCAAAACCAACCCTGAGATATCATATCACCTGATTTCACCCTTTACTATTTACCAAAAGTATTAAAAACAAAATCTCATTAGCACAAACATAAATACATGCATCAATGAAATCAAATCAAAAGCTCAGAAAATAATCCCTGTATATACCAGCATCTAATCTATGATACAGCAGCTATGACCATACAATGGAAGACAATTCTTTTAATAAATGGCTCTAGGAAAACTAGAACACCACACATAAAAGAATAAAGTTCTTTTATCACTTCTTAACGCCACACACAAAAATTAGCCCTACATTAATTAAAGATTTAGTTATAAGATTGGCAAAAATGAAATGTATAGACGATAACATTGCCAATACCCTCCAGGATATTAAAGATAAAGATATTTTGGTGATAACGTCTTTGGCAATGAAACTAGAAACAAAAATAAGTATTGGAATTGCCTCAAGTTAAAAACTTTTATACAGAGAAAGACAATATAAGACAATTAAAATCACCATATTGAATGGAGACCATACTAAGACAATATTACTGATTAAGGGAATAATAAGATATATATTAAAAATACAATTAAACAGCAAAAATAACGATACAATTACTCAATTGACAGCAGATATGAAAGACAATTCACTAAAGAGTATATCCAGAAGACCAATAGACATACAAAATAAAATGTTTATCACTACTTTCCTTAGAGAGATTCAGGTTAAAACCACTCAAGATACCCTCTCAAACCCATGAAAATGTCACATATTGAAAAGTCCTCTAATGCATTTTGGAGCAAAAGAAACCCTGTTATGCTGTTGGTGGGAAAGTAAAATGCTGCAAACACTTGGAAAGCAATCTGTATTTGCTTAACAAAATTAAGACTAGAACTTCTATAGGACCCAGGAATCTTACTCTTGGGAATCTATCCAAAGAATATGACAACCATCAATATTTAAAATTATATCTTCCACAATGTTTATAGCAGCATTGTTTATAGTAGCTAGGATGTGGAATCAGCATAAATTGTCCATCAGCAGATGATTGAACAAGATGTGGTATATCCATCTACACTATGGAGTACTATATGGACATAAGAAAGGGTGAAATGTAGTGATTTTCAACAAACGGAGGGAGTCAGAATGATAAAAATAAATATTGGGTATTTGCAAAGCAGACAATCTGGTAACATAGAACATTTTCAAAAACAAGTGGACATCAATAAATTTTATGAGGGCTGTGAGATTAAGAAGGAAGATGGAAGGAAAGGAACGGGATATAAGGGTTAGTGGTGGGAAAAATTTTACAAATAAAAATACATTTTTTTTATTGAGGTAAAATTTGTTTACAACATCGTATATGATACAGTGGTATAGATTCACACCTCTTCAGATGTTTGTTCCTACACTACACCCACCACCAGTCCATTGGACCCAATACACCCCATAACCCCATCCCCACATTCACCCTCTGGTAGCATCAATTCTATTGTCAGACTTCTAAGACTGTTTTGGTATAGTATTTTTTTTTCCTGTTTCTTCATATTCCACATAAGTGAAATCACCAGGTGTTTGTCTCTTCTGACTTATTTAATTTAGCATAATTTCCTCTAGGTATAACCAAGTTATTGCAAATTGAAAGGTTTCATGAATAATACTCCATTTTGTATAGCTGCCACATTTTCTTAATCTACTCCTCTGTGGTTGGACACTTAGGTTTCTTCCCATAACTTTGCTATTGTAAATGTGATGAAATGAAAATAGGATTGCATATATCCCTTCAAATTAGTGGGGGTTTTTTGTTTGCTTGCTTCTTTCAGGTAGATATCTAGGAGTGGGATTGGTGAGTCATTGGCATATCTTTATTTAATACTTAGAGAAACCTACATACTGTTTTTCCACAAAGACTGCTTTGGTCTACGTTCCCACCTACAGTATATGAGGGTTCATTTTTCTCCATAGCCTTCCCAACACTTATTGTTTCTGGCCTTTTTGATATGGACAAGTCTCTAGGTCATAATGTGGTATATCATTTTGATTTTGATTTGTACCTCCCTGAAGATGTGATGAGAATTTTTTCATGTCCCTGTAGGCCATCTATTCGTCTTCTTTAGAGCAGTGTCTAGTTGGCTCTTCTGTTCATTTTTAAAAAGATTTATTTATTTATGCATACAAGAACTGGGGTACAAGCCAGAGGTGTGGGGGGTGAGAGGATTCATCAGAGACAAAGTGGGGAACAGAACAGTCAGACTAACTGAAATACACTGCTGAAGGGGAGCAGCAGCAAGTCAGGAGAGTTCTGCTGTGCCATGTGTGTAGCTCCCTGACTGGGGATAGAACTTGTGCTGCAGTGGCTGTGGGCAGCTTCATAGGGTATGTCTTAACCCCTTGAACCCCAGGGAGGCCCTCTTCTTTTTTTTTTTTTCCCCGTCGAAATTCAGGTATTTTATTTTATTTTATTTTTAAAAAAAATTCATTTATTTATTTATACAAGCACTGGGTACAGTCAGAAGCGTGGGAGGGAGAGAGAATTCACCAGAGCCAGAGCAGGGAGCAGAGCAGGCAGAAGGACCACAGTACACTGCTGAGGGGAGTAGCGGGCTGCAGGAGAAGTCTGCGCGCCATGTGGGACCCTCCTCCGGTGGCCGGGGAGCAGCCGGGGATTGAACCAGTGCTGCAGAGGCTGTGGGCAGCTTCACAACCCAGCGCTCAACCGCTGCACCACCAGGGAGGCCCGAGGCCCTTTTCTGATCATTTTTGATTGAGTTATTTATTTTCATTGAGTTGTATGAGTTCTTTGTAAATTTTGGATATTAGCCCTTTGTCAGTATATCTTCCAATTCTGTATTTCAATGTTAGCTTGTTTATTTTGTCCAGAAGTTTTATAATTTGATGCAGTTCCATTTGTTTATGTTCACTTTTGTCTCTCTACTGTTGGAGTTAAGTCACTGAATACATACCTGAAGTCAATGTCATAGATGTTTTTCCTTTTTCTTTTATATATTTTATGGTTTCAGGTCTTATGTACAAAATTTTAATCCATTTTTGTTAGTTTTTGTGTAAGGTGTGAAATATTGGTCTAGTTTCATTCTTTTGTATACAGCAGTCCAGTTCTCCCAACACCAATTATTGAAGAAACTTTTGTGTCTCCTCTGTGTTCTCTTGGTCATAGAAAAACTGTCCATGTAAATGTGGGTTTATTTCTGGGCCCTAAATTTTATTGCATTGGTCTCTCTGTCTATTTTTAATACAGTACTAAACACCTTTGATAACAAAAGCTTTGTAATATAATTGAAATGTGTGAGTGTGCTCTTTGTCCTTTTTTTTTTTTTTTTAGGTCAGTATTATCTTGACTATACAGGCTTTTTTGGTGGTTCCATGTAAATTTCAGAAATGTTTGCTCTATTTCTTTTTTTTTTTTAAAGTATTTATTTATCTATACAAGCACTGGGTATGGTCAGAAGCGCGGGAGGGTGAGAGAATTCAACAGAGCCAGAGCAGGGGGTGCAGAACAGGCAGTAGGACCGAAGTACACTGCTGAGGGGAGCAGCGGGCAGCAGAAGAGGTCTGCGCGCCATGTGGGACACTCTCCCTGCGGCCGGCTGGGGATCGAACTGGTGCTGCTGAGGCTGCGCGCAGCTTCGCAGCCCAGCGCTCAACTGCTGCGCCACCAGGGGAGGCCCTGTTTGCTCTATTTCTTTGAAGAATGTCATTGAAATCCTGATAGGGATTGTATTGAACCTATATTGTTTTGGGTGAGATGGCCATTTTAGTAATGTTAATTCTTCTAGCCCATGAGCAGGGAACATCTTTACATTTCTTGTGCCTTCTGTTTCTTTTAACTATATCATTGAATAGCTCTTTTATCTCTGTTAAGTTTATTCCTACATATTTAATTCTTTTATATGTTATTGCAAAGGGTATTTTTCTTGATTTATTTCTCTTTTTTGTTGCCTTTATAGGAATTAATGAGATTTTTCTATATTGATTTTGTATCAGTCACTTCACTGTATTGATTTACTGTTCCTAATAAGTTTTTAACTGATTTTGAGAGTTTTTTATACATACTATCATGCCATCTGAAAATAGTGATAATGTCACTTCTTTTTCATTTTGGATTCTTATTATATCTTTCTCTTGCTTAATTTCTCTAAGATTTCCAATATTATGTTGAATAGTAGCGATGAAAGTGGACATCCTTGACTTGTAACTGGTGTTAGAGGAAAAACATTCAGATTTTCACCATTGAGTATGAGGTTAGCTGTGATTTGTCATATATCGCCTTATTTTGTGAAGTATATTTCTTCTATTCTCCTTTTTGGAAGTTTTATTTTTTTCATAAATGGATGTTGAATCATATCAAGTTCTTTCTCTGCATCTATGCATATAATCATATATTTTAATCTTTCTTTTTTGAAGTGGTGAATTATACTGATTGATTTGTGCATGTCAAACTATCTTTGCATTTCTGGACTAAATATTATTTGGTCATGATGTATGATCTTTTCAATTTATTGTTGAATTTGGTTTGTTATAATTTTGTTGAGGATTTTTGTATCTTTTTTCATGAGGAATATTGATTTGTTGTTTTCTTGTGATGTAATTGTCTGCTTTTGGAATCAGTGTAATGTTGACCTCATAAAACATGTTTGGGAACATTCCTTCTTTTTCAATTTCCTCGGTTTCACTAAATGAAGTGTCAGATCCTGGGCTTATATTTTGGAGAATTTTGATTACTATTTAACATTCTTGCTTGCAAATGGTCTGTTCTTGTTTTTTAATTGATTAATTAATTAATTAATTAATTAATTTTTTGTTCTTGTTTTTTATCTCTTCCTCATTCAGTCTTGAAAGATTGCATGCTTCTAAAAAACTGTCCATTTGATCTAGGCTATCCAGTTTATGGGTTTTGAGCTGTTGTAACTTCTGCTCTTTATTTCTGATTCTACTTATTAGAGTTTGTCTGTTTTTTGATCCCTTTGATTTAACTTTTGAACTATTTTTTTGATTATTATTTCACTTATTTCCATTCTAATTTTCTTCCTTCTAGTGGATTTTGTTTTCATTTCTTCCTCTTCCTCTAGTTGCTACAGGTATAAGTTTAGATTTTGAGGTCTTTCTTATTTATTGATGTAGGTTTGTATTGCTATATACTTCCCTCTTATTGATGCTTTTACTGTCCCATAGGTTCTGGTAACTCATGTTTTCAGTTTTCTTCTTCTGTCAGTATTTTTAAATCTCCCCTTTGATTTCCTCACTAACCCAGTAGTCATAAAGTAGCTTGTGTGCTTAGTCTCCACATATTTAAGGTTTTTTTGAACTTTATTTTTGTGGTTTATGCCATTGTGGTCAGATAAGTTACCTGATAAACTTTCAATTTTTATGAATTTATTAACAGGTTTTTAATTTTTATTTTTTTGGTTACCCAACAATTGGTCTATCCTGAACCATATTCCATGTGCACTTGAGAAAAATGTATACTTAGCTTTTTTTGGTGTATAGTTCTCCCTAAGTGTCTACAGATGTTAATATCTCATTTGAGGCTGTTATTTATTGTTGATTTAGATAAGCATGTGCTCTTTTGGTGTCACAGATTTGTGTATTTACTTTCTTCCCCAGATTTGGGAAGTTTTCCTTCATTATTCTTTCAATAGTATCTTTCTTACCCCCTCTCACTCTTCCCCTTCTATGATACCAATTATTTTTATCCAGTCTTCCCTAGTGGTGTCAGATAGTTCTGAAGTACTTTATTTTTTAAACATCTTCTTTCAAATGATCCTTCACATATTACTATCTTCAAGGCCACTGATTAGATCCTCCACATAGTCTATTCTACTTGTAGTGCTCTTTTTTTTTAGAAATATTTATGTTATTAATGAATTCTTTACATTCTGAATCTATACTGTTTTCTTATTTAAATCTTCAACTTCTACCTTCTGTTTATTTTATTTATTTATTTACAGTTTTATTTAAAGACTTATTTATTTATGCATACAAGAACTGGGGTGTAAGTCAGAGGTTCAGGCAGTGAGAGGATTCACCAGAGTGTGGAGCAGAACAGGCAGATGTACCCAAATACACTGCTGAGGGGAGTGGAAGGGGAAACAGGAGAGGTCTGCTGCACCATGTAGGTTAGCTCCCTGGTTGCAGGGGATCAAACTCAAGCTGGCAGCAGCTTGATAGCGCTGTGTTTAACCCCTGTGCCACCAGGGAGGTCCCTTCAAATACATTCTGTTTATCAACTTTATTGTTGAGCTTATTTGTTGTTTTTCTGAATCTTCTTATATCTCTTTGATTAGCTTTTCCGAGTTCTTTTGCATCTCATTGATTTGCCTTTCTGCATTATCTTCTCTTTCTTTAATTTTCTTTATTATAACAGTTTTGATCTACTTGGTAGGGAGATATAAGCTTCCATGTTTTTGTGGCTGGGTTCTGGAGAGTTGTTCTCTTTGTGATGGCTTAATACTTTGAAGGCTCAAGGTCCCATGTGCTGTATTCTTTTATCTGCCCATCTTGATGAATTAAATTTCCCTATAAAAATTATCTGTAGGAATAACTTAAGAGAGATCATTGCTTTTATTTTTCTTGCAGTTAGCACAAATCAGGCTTTATTTATTTATTTATTTATTATTAATTCATTTATTTTTGGCACTTGTTGATTTCCAGAGTTAGAGACCTGTTTTTTCAGTTTTGGAGTCAGCAGAGTGGGAGAGATGCCTGGACGGGTCCAGCAATTGGTGCAAATGTGCTCACAGATTTGGGCTCTTTCACCTTTGTGGCACAACTGATATTCTTCCTCTCTGGATTTCCAAATATGAAATTCTGCTGTCTGTGCACTGTCAATGTGATTCATGAAGTCAGTAATATTTCCTGATGGTGGTCACAGGGATAGTTTACAAAGAGCACTTTGTTCTTATCAGGGATCCAGTTTGTGTGGAGCACACCAGGTCTTCAAAACATGTTTCCCCATGGTGAAGTGTGTGTACCTTCACCCCACTTGGATCTCCTTTGTCTCCCATTCTCTGGCTGAGCCAGCATACTGTGTGTATCTTCTGCTCTAGTTCACAACTCATTCTAGGTGTTTCTCTCCATCTACTTCTTGTTCAATGAAGTGTGACTCTCTTCTCTTTCTCCTCTGTGCAATCTGTTGGTCTCTGATCCAAAGAGTGCTTCAGTTTTTCCCCAAGTCACAGGACTCTCTGGGTATAGTGTCCTTCTGTTTAATTGTTAGATGTTTCTCTCAAGAACCTCTTTTGTCACTGTCTTGTGATATCATCTGGAATCTGTTACTTTTTAAGATGCAGAAATTTGTACTGGGTTTTATGGAAAATTCAAACCTATATTATGTAATTACATACTCCATACTATTTTGGTAAATTTTCTTTTTAAGAAGGCCAACTTTAAATACATATTCTATCATTGACAACAGGTACACAGCAGCAAGGGATATTGGGCATTATGAAGAATTCCTACTAAAAGAATGTTTTATTTTGGAGTGCAGGTAACACAATTAATGATTTCAAGGCATGGCTTCATATGAAATTAACTCTGTCTTAAATGCTTCACATTTCTCCCTTGCTTTAATATATTGGAAAAAAATGATGTGACATTTTAACAACCCCTTCATCTCTTCTTTTCCCAATGAAGAAAAACACTTTCATTTATGACATATTTTAGACAACATGGATACCAAATTTAAAAAATAACAAATGACCATTATGTTTGGGCTTATCCCAAATGTTGTCAAGAAGTTAGGCTATCTTTGGAGATTGCAAATGTTTTTCTGAAAACACTGTTTTTGAGAATGCTGAATGCAAAGAAGTTTTGACACAAGTCAGTGTGCCTTTGGGGTGTTAGATCTCCATTTCAGGATGATTGCCATGGATAAGTATTATATTGCCCTTGAATCTAACAAGCACCATCACTCTCTGCAGCTTCCTATTTAGTGTAGCCCCTGTAGATAGTCAAATGTGAAGGAATTTGAATGCCATGATTAATAGAAAAAACTGAACACAGCATAAAAAACAATATTAAAGTTAAAATAAAATTTTGTTTGCTGAGCATGTATTACCTGGTTTTAACAAAAGTTATAAGATTTCTTTTTCCCTTTGTAAAGCAAAGCAAAATAAAACAGCAATAGAACAAAGGTATTCAAACCAACATAACATGTCCTTCTTTGCTTTATCTTTGCTTATCATATTCTTTTCAACACAATGGGCAGAAGTTTCACCCTTTATGCTACATAATGAGAGCTCCTTCTTGGTCATGTGCACAGGTTTGCCCTTCTTGTGTGGCACTAGGGGATTCTCCTGCTCCTAGACTTGTCTGAACGCAAGTTAAAAATCATAATCCACACAGCCATTGTAGTACACTGCATTGTATCAGCAGACATATGCATCTTGCTGTTATTTATTGGAAAGTGTAATATTTGCACCATATGTCTAGACTAGTCCCACATAGGAATCATGAGTAAATATACAAAACTTTCTGTCTGTCACTACTATTTTTTTGAGCGTATAGTATGCACAGGGAAAAAATAGTGTGGGAGAAAAAGAGTTGATCAGCTCTTAGTTCTGAAGTGGTTGTTAGAAATTATAAAAAATGGTAACTTTGCTTAGAAGATATGGGCATATAAAAGCTTGGAATGCTTAATGCTCAAAATTTCCCTTAAATTATATAAATGGAAGTAAACATTTATTACCATTTGGTCAAGTATAAGCATAACTTGCATTCATATTTCATTGTTAGTAATGGAGGTATGTGGAGATATACACACCTTGAGACAGCTGTTTTTTTTTTTTCAATATTGCATACAGGCTAGCAATTCATTAAAAGTAGAAGAGATAAGCCTGAAGGTTAGATCTTAGAAGAAGGCAGTTTTTCATGCACAGCTTTTGTCAATCCTGATTTGGTTTGAAAATAAAAATCATGGAATACCAAAATCAAAGGAGAGTCGATTGGGGGAAGAGGGGGAGGAGGATAATCCCAGAAAGGGTGATGTCACTGGCCAGGAAAACATCAGGTGAGTTTCCATTTCCTCATTCAAGTCCAAAGGTGCTGGTTTCTTCTACTGCTGTTAACAGCTTTTCATACAACATGGAGTATGAGGGATAAGGTGGAAGATCCAATCGATTGAAGCATGTGTGTGCCCTGAATGAGGGAGAAAAGATTGGTAAAGGTGTTTGTTTCAATGATATGACTGGTTTGGACATATCTGTGATCAGTCTGAAGCTGTGAATAAAAAGTGAGTAGAACCATGATTTTGGACCACCATAAAACATTGCAAGCTAAGAACCATAGGCTTATAGACATGAATAGATCAATTAAGGAAGTGGAATAACTAGAAACATGTGGTGTGCACTTGTAAGCAAACTACACTATGCAAGAATTATATGAAAACCAATGATAAGCTCCATGGTAACAGCTTTATTTTATAACAAAGATATGAACTTAGGTGTGCTCAGTGCAGGAGGCAGAAACAGAATTAGCATTAAAGGTTCATATTCCCAAGTCTCCTTGCTCAGTTCTGATTTCAGGATCTCATAAACAAACAAGTAAATTGATTTTGAAGTGACAATAGATGCCCTGGAATTCTAATATCGAATGCCTTATTTTCATATGTGCCTTGAATACAGTTTGACTTCTTGACAATTGCCAGTGCTACAGATCTATACTGAGGCTGAAGTGCTGCATTTCCAAGAACAGCTAAGTTGTGGGATAGTCCTCTCTAGATGCCGGGAGCATTGTCATGTCACCTGCCCAGAGTTCAGCTTAGTCATCAGCCTGAGGCCCAGGACACACATCTTTCTCTTGTGGAAATTCAAATTGACTGACCAGCTGCTCCCTGTCACAAATTCTGTGTTTTTATGGAATCTGGTTGATGCTGAGTCCTGTACCAAAGTAGGGAGAAAGATGAATGGGTGCTGCTAGAGGCTAATTTAGTGTCTTTTTCTCTCTAGAATGGGTGGGTTATTAAAAGGGTGTTTTGAGGAACCAGCCAGTAAAGAAAAGGGCACTAAAATAAAACAATAAAGTATAACACAACAAACCTATGTACTAAACAAAACACTAACCAAAGATAAATATAAATAAATAAAATAACCAAAAACACTAATCAAAAAGCTATTCTCCCTCCATTCGAATTTCATTTAGGGTACTAAACTAATATTTTAATTATAATATCCCCATAGAAATTTTATTTTATTTATACCTTTGTTTTCAGAGTCCTGGATCAGACTAAGGTAGCACTTGAGTTATGGGGAATATTTTTTGGGACATGGGAAGGTTGGAAAGAGGAACAGGAAGGTATGTTTTCTGCACAGGGAAAATTGGGGAGGATGTCAGTGTTTTTGCCTCACAGCATCCATTCCTCCTCCTGGTAACAGCTTCTTCATTGTGTCCAACTTTCCCAACCTCTACCCACCCCACCCCCAAGCTCTAAGGGCATTCATTGGACAGTGAAATATTTGGCCTTAGGCCTTAAGAACTTAAGTTGGAAGAAATACAAAAATACAAAGGGCTTAACAGAGGTCTCATTTTTTTTTTAGATTAAAAAAAATTAGATTTAAACAAGCCCATATTGATTTCAGAAGAAAAGGACTCAAATATTTTAACTCAATGTATTTGTTTTTATGAAAGTAGAAGTCAGTAAAATTCAGTAGGATGGCAATTACAGTCATCCTTTTTGGTTACAAAGATTGAGACCTAATTATACCCTGGACTATGGTTAAGCAAATTACGTGGGACAGAAAAATCCCAATTGTTAACTTTGGAACTGGTTGAATAAACCAGGGGTGAAACATGAGAGGACATCATCTTCTTATTTTCTTTCTCAGATCATTTTAACTGAGACTTATGGATGGAAATGCTACAGTAAATGCTCTTTACAAAATGCTCTTTACAAAAGAGTTGGGACCAAATTAATTCTGTAAAAGATAATTTCTAGGCATAAATTGAAAACATTAACAAATGAAACCACTTTAAGACCTCGTCTGAACACCTGGAGTTTCTTCAAGAGTTGCTTTTGTTATATTTACCTACAGTCATAGTTAATTTTCTCAAATAAATTATAGTTTATGATTTAGAATAAATGAACATAATAAAACTATGATTTGATTCAACATTCCTAAGTGCTTGTTGCCCTCCAGATGTGATTCTGACAGTATAGGGCACCTGTTTACCTGACTCCCTGTGCCCAGGACCCAGTGCTCCTGGGTTAGGAGAGGGAGGTGGTGGAGTAAGCATGGGAACTATTAGCTTTACTATCTTGGGAAAGTTAGTTAACCTTTTGAGCCTAAGTTTTCTCATCAGTAAAACGGGGGTAATAACACATGCTTTGTTCACCTCAAGGGCTGGATGTTGTGAGGATCACATACAAACTTTTTCCCAATATTATGAATCATTATTTAACAATAAAATTCTTTTAACACTACAACCATGATTGCCATAATGATTTTAGGAATTGTGTCACATATATGAGTACTTAAGACCCTCAGTGGCAAATGAATCACCCTTGACTCTTATTTGTGCAAATGTTAATTTGGAATGCCAAATGGATTTTTAATCACACCAGATCAAACTTCATTCTGTTGGTGTTAATTGGGGGTTCTAGATAATTTTGGATTTGGACTTGTGCCAATCACTATGTGTCCCTCTAATTTGTATTATCTACACAATTGATCTTTTTGTTGCCTCATTTTTTTTTCCCAAGTTACTCATTAAAATGTTAAACCAATACATTGCTACCACCTCATTCTATAATCCCCCTTCACCATTCCTTGTCTGTCAATGCTCACCCAAATGCCAGCTTCTTTAGGGCATCTTCTCCTTACAACTCAATCAGGATAGGTGTCTGTTCTACATTCTCACAGCACCTTGCTTTTACCTCCCCTTCTTTTTGTTTTTGTGATTCTACTTTCTGATATAATTAATTACAATCAGCCTGTGTTCCCAAACTGTAAGTTTCTTTGTGACAGGTACATGTTTGTATCACACACAAGATGCAACTAGAAGGGGAGGCTATCATCAAATGGTGATTCAAACTTATTTATCTAAAACAAAAGAAGAATGTTTCCAAGTAACTCATCTTCCAAATCTATCATTAAACTAGACAAATGGAAATCATGCCTTTTTGTCTTATTTTCTTGCTAGACTTAATTAAGTAGGTCAGCAGAACCTTGCAAATGAGCACTGAAAGTCCACTGAAATAAGTGAGTGAAGGCAGAGATGAAAATTATGACAAGACTTTAGGCTGATATTAACCAGTTGGCATGCAGTTTCCCGGACTCCTTAATGATCAACAATATCAGGTATATTTTCTACAGGACACTAGTAAGTCTGGGGAAGCTAGATGAATACCACAGCTCAGTAAATCCTTCTACAATAAGGATTTAGCAAAGGTATCTGGGAGGTCATATAGAAATAGAGCTGAATTAAATGCAAATTTTCTTTTATAATTAAAAATGGCATAGTGTAATAAAATAGTTTGCATCAATTTTTTCTTCTGTTCATTGAATAGTATTTATTACAGTCATGCTTATATAGAAGTAACTCTTTAGTGTTTCTCATTTTACTGATCAGGATGAATAAGCTACCTAAAAGAATAGAAAGGACTCAGGAAACATTGGGATTAAAGCTCATGGCATAAGGAACTAATTCTGTTAAATTGCCTGGATCCCCAGTGCCTTTTTTTCCTGCATTTATCTCATAATGAATTCCTCAGTAACGTACTATATGGAAGTTACTGTAGAGATCTGAGATACATATGGTCTCATTCTCACATATTTTAAAACACAGTAAGAGAAATGTGACATGTACAGGAATAACTATCCTATGGAGAGCAACTGATAGGCCATTTAAGTACAGATACAATGCTAAAAGGACTACTTTGGGCTTGTAGTCTCTTTTCACTAATAGCCTTTCCCCCCAATCCCCCCTTTCAGGTTTAAATTAAATTGGAATTTGTACATAAGCATGCCCATGGACCATGGTACTACAGCCCATGATACTATTTTCCAAACACAGTTAATCATCAAAACAAAACAAAATGAAACAAAAACCGAAAAAGCCCACTAAGAATATGCTCTAAAGTCAGCTCCCAGAGATTTCTGCCTTACACCTTTCACTAACAAGTTATAAAACTATACTTTGGGTGGCAGGAAACAATTCCATCCCAACAGATGATCACCCAAGCTCAAATAATAAGGTATACTTGGCCCTCTTCAGCAGGTTTCCCAAAGGTTGGCAGGAGCTCCGTATGTACCTGGGGAGAGATGTAATTTTCCCCCATTTCTCTATGCAGAAACGCCGAAGCCCATTGCTTCCTCGGAGGGCTGCAAAGCCTTCATAGGGCACACTTGATGTTCCTGTGACAAACTGAAGTAATCTTAGTCTCTGCTCATTATTGAAGCGTTCCACTGCAGCCCAGAACCAGCGGATCACAAGATGTCCATCATGATAACCTGAGCAGAGTGAAAAGAAGAAGAAAGAAAAGTTGTAGAGAAACAAGAAAGGAGTATAGGGAGAAAAATACACATCAGGTATAAAATGAATGAGTGACTACTTTTGATCTGCTGATTTCTTTAATGATGACCATTAGATAGATGTAAAACAATTTGTATAACTAAGTCATATTTTAAAACAAAAGTAGATTTATAAAATAGCCATTTTTATAGAGGTCTGTCCTTAGAGATGTTTATTTCCTGTAAGCAATTGGGAGCCCAACTCGCTTTCCTGCCTCATATAAACATAGTTAAGGAGTGGCTAAGTTTGGAAGAGGTCTTTGGGATCCTTAGGAGACAAACCCTTTCAGAATTAATATTTCATCATATTTTCTTTGTTATTATGTCTTAACTCTTGACAGTCACATTCAATGGCAGAGCCTAGGACTTGATGGCTGGAGGAAAGGACCAACTTGGTGAAGAAGAGATGCGGGCTCTCTGACTACCATAGGTTCCCCTGGAGTAGATGGTCTGGATCAACACTGGGTATAGAGAAAAGGGGTGCGTGAAAGTTGAGTGACCAAGTGAGCATCAATTAAGGCAACTAATTCACCAGTTATTGCAAATGCAAGAGGTATTCAAAGATGGGAGAAATCAACATGGTCTGGGGTAGAAACTCAGAAACCGTTGTAAAGGAAGTGAGGTGAGAGTGAAACATGTACAAATTTGTGTGAATGGAGGAGAGAAAGGAGACATTTCTAGTAAGGAAATAAAGAATAAAAGATCAAGGAAGAAATATGCAGGGAACAGCAAGTAACTATTGTGGAGGGTGTTCTAGTATAGAACGTGTTCTCATAAGGACTGAAAGGAAACTTGCTCAGGAACTCAGAGGGCCTCAATTGTGGGACAGATTTGGTTCCTTTTGACTTGACACAAAGAATGACCTAGTGGTCTCTAGAGACTTCTTACAGCTGAGCATACACTTGGGAGATAAGGGGAGATGATGAAGCTTCCCCTCATTCTTTCATTCTTTCTTTATTGTATTAATTGGGGGTCCTCTATAATGTTATACATGATAAAGAAAAAGTTTAGAGGGTAAAATTAATTTTCATTGACCTCTTCAATAAATAATAAGAAGTTTATTTTGTAGATAAGGAAGTGTTCTGATAAAAATGAAGTTTCAGGAAAACTACTTTAGTATGTGAAGGTGAAGGGCTTAGAAATTAAGTCTGGAAAGACAACAGTTAGAAAAATCCTGTCATGGCACCCCAGTATTGAGGTGAAGAGGGCTCCAGTTCTACAGGAAGTGGGATACACTTGTCTGTCAGATTATAACCCATTTCAGGAGCTGACCTGTTGATGGTGGGTCTATGTCAAGGTGGTGGTCTTAATAAAGAACCTATACCTCATGAACCAGAGACTAACAGGAGTTTCTATCACCTAAAGTGAAATTCAGCTTAGAAAGTAGAGTAAGGCATGTAAAGGAACAGGTATTGAAGCAATTTCAAATTTTTGTCATCTTCAAAAAGTGATGAAATAGTATATATAATATTGAATAAATTGAGCAAAAAAGGAATGGAGCACTGAGGCACACTACAGCTTGGACAAAGCACAATACAGTGTGATTAGTGAAAAAAGCCAGGCAAGAAAGTGCCACCTATTGTTTGACTCTGTTTATATCAAATCCCAGAGTAGGTTGCCAGGACCAGGAGGAGGGAGGAAATGGAGGAACGGTTTCTTTTTTAATGATGAAAATTCTCTGAAACTGGTTAGAAGTGGAGGTTGCATAACATTGTGAATATACTAAATGTTACTGCATTGTTCATTTAAAAAGTTAATTTTATTATGTCAATTTCACATCAATAAAAAATGTTTAAGTGATAAACTGTATCTGTGGTAGTTGTACCATCTCAAGGCCTGCTCGCTCACCTCCCCGGTACTCTGTATTATTCCGCCAATCATTTAAGTCGATTTCTGCTGTGCCAGCTATCACCAACTCCAGCTCTCTGGCATCGAAAACAGACACGAGTCTAGAATCCACAACCTGAAATACAGTTTAGGTTACAGGATATAGGTCCAACCACATTGAAAATCTCTATTCCTTATAGTTATTTCTGTGGGTTAAGGTGGGAAACTGACCATCATTTACAAACTTTTCTCCCATGTTCAAGTTCAAAATCATGATAAAACATTTTGAAACCCAACCTGTTTATGAGCTGGGAACTGAAAAAAGGCCGCTCCCTCTGATATTCCCTCTCAGAACGTTATGAAAAAATTTGACTCAGATTTCTCTATGGACACATTTAAGTTTCCAAATATCATAGCATGCTAGTGGTGATAAGGCAGTCACTTAATAGCTAATAGCATGGCTTCATTTTAAAAGTATCTTTTTTTATACAAAATTATGACTCATTTCCAAGGAATGAACATTAAAGTTAAAATGACTACATTTTCCTTCTCTTATCCCCACACTTACTTTCTCCCCTGAAGATCTGGAAGGAGCTGCTTTGTTAGGGTTCTGAACTTAGATTTTACATCTCCTTATCAAATGTATCAAGTACAAGTAAACATCTACCATGGTACCTCTTCAATCAAACCAGTTGTGGGTGACAGTGACCCATGCTGCTTTCCATCACACCAGGCATAGGGGAGAAAAATCTGTCACCCACAAATATGTCTTCTTGACAAAAGTCATATTTTGCCAGAGACTGATACGTGTAAACTTCTCTCTGTTAGGCCTCTTCCAAGATGTAATTTCCTAATTTCTTTTCAATGGAGAGAGCAGTACTTAAATTTGAATACTTTATCTATTATGTTTTCAGGTAACTTACCTAACTGGTCTTCACTCTCCCCAACCCCCAAGTCACCTGTCTTAGCTAAGCTATTTAAGATGGCAGATGAAGCCAGGTGGATCAGTTAGTCATGCTGGGTCTCACCCATGTATACGGAATGTACACGTTATCATTGAACCTCTTTTTTTTTTTTTTTCCTCTGATTAATCTGGCACTTATTTGATTATTTGGCAGCCTAGAAAAACCTAGGGGTTCAGAAAAGAAAATCTTGCAAAGTACAAACCCTGAGAAAATATTCACAACCTTCTGTTTCTAAACTGGAAAAGTTTAAGGATGTCAACTTTTTGTGTACAGAAAGGCTGGCAGTTATCCCTGTCCTTTTGATTTACCACCCTAATATAGATTATATGGCACAAAATGACACTAATGAAATAAAAATCTAGGAAGAGTAGATAATACACTCTTCACTTATTTTTTGTTTCTTTGAATAATAGGAAACACCACCTGCACATATCTTGACAGGAAATGCAGGATGTTCGCACTTCTGGCAAACCAGGTCAATACAAACACCAATTTTGTGAGAGCATTTTTCGCCTCCCAAAAGTGTTGGGTTTCCAGAAAACTCTGACCTGCCTCCTATCCATCTAATTTAAATAGTTCTTTTGTACTCTGGTGAGTGGAGATGAGCCTTCTGCCTGCTTTTAGTTCTTATTCTCTCTTAGCTTTACAATCTGTGTCCAGGGATGAAGGCCACTGGCCTGAAACTTGCATCATGTTTTCCTCAGCCAGGACTGGGCCTCACCTCATAGAAACCCCGCACCAGAGCCTCAGTCTGTTGCACCACACCACGTTCTACCCGCCATTTCACCATCCTCTCGATGTACTCTTTCTTGTTCTTCTCTGTGACCTGGGTGTTGGCTCCTCCAGATTTTAACTCCCTTTCTGTGACCTTGTGGAAAAACAGAAAGATTTTTCTGTTTTATAAACAAGAAACATATTTTGATCTGTGTGATTCTTTCTTTGCTTCTTATGGTAATACTTCATTTATTGTTTATGATTTATATGTAAATTGATGGACTGGGTATTTTATAAGTTTTGCTAGCTAAATAGCCCACTTTTCCACTCACCATAATGTGAATGTATCATAATTTATTTAGTCAATTTTCTATCCCTGGGCATTTTGATTTCAGATATTTTGCAATTATCCTCTATGCTACAATGAAGATCCCAATACATTAGTTTATTTCAATTTGGTGTGAATATATCTGTAGGGCAAATTTCTAGATGTGGATGCTGAGTTAAAATATGGACAGATATCACAATGGTGCATTCTATATAGTGAACCAAACTACACACCTGTTCCTTTTTCTCTATACCATCTCCAAAATAGAATACTTTTCTGACAGTCACAGAAGGGAAAATGGTATCTCATGATAGCTTTAATTAATTAATTTTTTAATAGTTCAGAGGATATTTTGTTTGGGGGAACAATAAGGAGCAAACTCTGAGACCATGAATGATGCCCTGAATGAATATCACTACATGATGTTTTTATGGACTTCATCCTGACCTTCAAGTTGAAGAGATCACAGGTGCAGAGGATTACAACTCCCAGCATGCCATGACTCTGACTTTGTGATTGGGAGGGTTGCAGGGAAGTAGGTGGGAGAGTTAAGCAGTCATGTTTGGTATACAGCTGAACACACAGGAGTTTGGTCTCTCTTGTTTTTCTTCCTTTTGACTTGTCCTGGTTTCTCAGTTCAGATGGCTTTATGGGTAGGATGTGTTGACCAAATTACCTCTCTCCCTGCCTGTTTTCTGTTCTTCCTTTTTTTATTCCTTTTGTAAGTAAACATTTATTTTTTTTTTTCTCCTGAGTGCCTGCTTTTGTGTCTTGCCCTATGTTCTTAAAAATGTGAGTGAGAACTCACACGCATTTTCCCCTGGGGGGAAATCTTTTAAAAGATGACACTCCTGGGCCTCCCCGGTGGCAGCAGTTGAGCTCTGGGTTGTGAAGCTGCCCGCAGCCTCTGCAGCACTGGTTCAATCCCCGGCCGCTGGGGAGGGTCCCACATGGTGCGCAAACCTCTCCTGCTGCCCGCTGCTCCCCTCAGCAGTGTGCTTCGTCTGTCTGCCTGTTCTGCTCCCTGCTCTGGCTCTGGTGATTTCTCTCACCCTCCCGTGCTTCTGACTGTACCCAGTGCTTGTGTAAATAAATAAATAAATCTTAAAAAAAAAAAAGATGGCACCCCTGGGGTTGCCCTGACACTATTTTATTTTTTATAGCAAGTAGGTCATGAATTCATAGGGAATGGATTTCAATAGCTCAGTCTGTTTTCCACTGGCTCTCACAAAATGTGCTTCTCTGAGTATAGCAGGCTGATGTTTCAGTTAAACACAAGTACCTTTTTCTTTGGCTTCCCTCTTTTTCTAATCATTTTCGTTCACGTTTCAGGAAATTTTCTTAACTCATAGAATACTTTATATGCTCAGTACGTACATTAATTCCTTTGACAAGATTCTTGCCCTTAACCTGTTTGTTTACAGAGATGCCAGCTGCATGTTGATACCATTGTATACTCTTCCAGGAATGCCATGCATTATTTGTGAATCATTCTCTTGAAGCGATGTCTACAATACCAACTTCATTTTTTGGTAGATTTACATGTCTGTGGCCCAAGAAACAATTCTAAGTTTTCTAGAAGGCCTAGAGGACAGATAGTGGGTGCCTTTCCACTTTCTGTTTGTGTTGGTCATTTTTGCAAATATTTGGAAGATTGTTGTTCCAGCAAAAAGGAAGCTAATCTACTGTTTTGCTTTTTTTTTTTTTTTAATTGTGAAAGAGGTTGAGTAGTTTTCAGGAAACTATTTCTATTCTTTGATAATTTTCTATTGTGTTAGTGAATGTTTCTTATTGATTGGTGGAAGCCTTTTCTATATTGAAGGAAATAGCTTTTTCCCTGTGTTATACATTATTATGTGTTATTATGCCATTTTTACTTTGTTTATGGCATATTTTTTGCAGTGCAGAATTTAAAAAGAACTTTTGCTTGGTTATATTAATGTATTTTATTGATATACTGCAGCAGTATTCCTTACTGCAAGATTAAAAATAAAAAAAACCCCTCTATTTCTATTGATGGGTGGACATTATTTTAGTTAGACTAGAGATGTAACTTTTTAATTTTTTTTAAAAAAAATTTTCTCAATAAAATTTGCTAAATAATTGCTTTTATTTTACAAATTTATCCTCTACTATAGGACAAACATAAAGGATACACTGGTGGCAGGCATGCACAAGGAATGGTATAGTTTAAACATCCATTTAGTATGTGACAGGATAGCTAAGTGAGATTCTAAAACTCATCTAAATGTGGTCTCCAGGGCCTCCCCGGTGGCGCAGCGGTTGAGTGCTGGGTTGTGAAGCTGCCCGTAGCCTCTACAGCGCCGGTTCGATCCCCGGCTGCCGGGGGATGGCGGCAGACATGGCGCACAGACCTCTCCTGCTGCCCACTGCTCCCCTCAGCAGTGTACTTCGTCGGTCTGCCTGTTCTGTTCTCTGCTCTGGCTCTGGTGAATTCTCTCACCCTCCCACGTTTCTGACTGTACCCAGTGCTTGCATAAATAAATAAATCTTTAAAAATAAATAAATAAATGTGGTCTCCATAGCTGTAAGGAGAAAATAATTCTCAAATATATATTTTTCTTCAGAGATGTGTTTATATAAAGATACTTAACACAACCTGGAAGTCGTGGTATAAAGATACTTCCACTCTTACCCCTAGACTCAGCACACTCTCACTATTCATGCAAGGTACTTATAAAGCACCCCAATTTATTTCTCACAAGAGCCCTATTACAAATTGTCATATGCCAAGGACTTTTGGACCTCTGTAAATTAGGCTATGGTATGTGCTGATGAAACTGTAACCCAGGAGATTCAATGTTATATAAGTGCTAGTGGAAAACTTTATCTTATTCAATAACATGAGATATATGCATTTTGGAAGAGTAAATATAAAGATTTTAGTGATAATAATTATTTTTATTGTTGTACACGTAATAGAAATACCTTTATATGTATTGTGTAACTTATGACATTTCCTGATCCATACTGCATTTGAGTTCCAAAAAACTCTAGAAAGTAGATCCATGTTATAGAAAGAAAAATGAGGAAGAAGACATGGGAAGCTTTATTAAAGGAAGTTTACCTTAAGAATTATATTTTGGAATTATATTTTGAATGAATCAAATTCCTCGCTTTCTAGTTTAAAAACAAAATGGCATTGCCATATGGTCTAAGAATTTCAACTTTCTCCATATATATATCCCAAAGAATTGAGAGCAAGAACTCATATACATATAACGACATTACTCGCAGTAACCTAAAGGTGTCCACCAATAGATGAATGGGTTAAAAAAAAAAGTGGTATATACATATTATGAGAGAGTACTCAGGCCTAAAAGGAAGGAAATACTGTCACATATTGTAATTTGGATGAACCTTGATGACATTATGTCAATTCAAATAAGACAGTCACCAAAACAAGTCAGAAAGAAAAAGATTAATATCTAATGATTTCACCTATCGAATGATTTTCACTTATATTAATATTGAATGATTTCACTTTTTCACTTACTATCGAATGAGAAATGAAACAAAAGATAAGAAAAAGACAACTTTCAAGCTTACCATAGATCTGAACTAAACAACAAGGAATAGGGAAAAAGGGGGTCAAAATGGGAGGGAAGAGCACAAGGGAATATGGTAATGGGTCAATGATGATATGATGATGGGAGGACTACACCTGAGGGAAGAAAGCAATTACTGTACCAAAATGAACAACGATGTAAGACAATTAAAAAGACAGTCACAAAAAAACAAAGTATGATTCTACTCATATGAATATTCACATAGATAACTACTCTAGATAATATGGATCTAAAATAGTCAAATCAATAAAGATATTCTACTTTCAATAAAGAAGAATGGTGGAGGTCAGGGGCTGGGGGAGGTAGAAATGGGGAGTTGTAGAGTATAAATTTTGTAAGATGAAAAAGTTCTGCAAAGAATATGCAATGGGGGCCTCCCCAGTAGCGCAGCGGTTGAGCACTGGGCTGCGAACCTGCCTGCAGCCTCTGCAGTGCCGGCTCAATCCCTGGCCAACGGGCGAGGGTCCCACATGGCACGCAGACCTCTTCTGCTGCCGGCTGCTCCCCTCAGCAGTGTACTTCGTCAATCTGCCTGCTCTGCTTTCCCCTCTGGCTCTGGTGGATTCTCTCACCCTCCCGCCCTTCTGACTGTACCCAGTGTTTGTATAAATAAATAAATAAATCTTAAAAAAAAAAAGAATAGACAATGGAACAAGGACAGCTTGTTCAATAAATGGTGCTGGGAAAACTGCAAAAGAATGAAAACTAAAACACTACCTCATACCATACACAAAAATCAACTCAAAATGGATAAAAGAAATGAACATAAGACCTGAAACAATAAAATATATAGAAGAAAATATAGGTAAAACACTGCATGACATACAAAGCAAAAAAGCAAAGAAAGTGAAGGAAAAAATAAACATCTGGGATTACATAAAACTAAAAAGCTTCCGTACAGCAAAAGAGACAGTAACCAAAACAAAGAGACACCTTATGGATTGGGGAAAATTTTTGCACTCCATGCAACTAACAAGAGACTGATCACTAAGATACACAAAAACCTTACATGACTCAACAAAAAGAGTAAACAATCCAGTCAAGAAATGGGAATAAGAACTTAAAATATACTTCTCCAAAGAGGAAATGCAAATGGTCAATGGGTATATGAAAATGTGTTCAACTTCTCTTATAATCAGAGAAATGCAAATGAAAAGCACAATGAGATACTACCTTACACAGTAAGAGTGGCACATATTAAAAAATCTCGCAACAACAAATGTTGGTGAGGATGTGGTGAAAAATGAATTCATGGGAATGCAAACTGGTCCAACCACTGTGGAAAGCTGTGTGGAAGTTCCTCAGACTACTAAAAATGGAGCTACCATATGACCCAGCAATTCCACTCCTAGGGATCTACCCAAAGTACACAAAACATTAATTCAAAAGGACACTTGCACCCTTATGTTTATTGCAACATTATTTATAATAGGGAAGACATGGAAACAACCCAAATACCCAAAAATAGATCCCTGGATCAAGAAGATGTGGTATATACACACAATGGAATGCTATTCAGCAATCAAAAAAGATAAATTGATGCCATTCACAGCAATGTGGATGGAGCTAGAAGGGATTATGCTCAGTGAAATAAGTCAGAAGGAAAAAGAAAAATATCAGATGGTTTCAGTTATAGGAGGAATATAGGGGAACCAAATGAGGGATCAAGGAAAAAAAAATAGTGACAAGAAAAAAAAAACAACAAAACCAAACAACAATAAAGAGACAACCATAAATCAGAGACATTCTGCAGGGGAGAGGGAGGAAAAGAGATCAAGGCGAAGCTGTGAAGAACACAGGGACTATGGTGATGGTGCACAGGTGAATTTTACATAATTAAAAAAAAGATCTCTTTCAAGCCCCACATTCCACAAACCTGTCCAAAAACCTCTTCATTAACAGTGAAAGTGAGGTCTAGGATATCTGTGATGTTGTTGTCTTTCATCCATTGCAAGCTCTGGTGGAATTCTTCATCCAAGTATTCTAGGTCACTCAAATCACAGGGCCTGGCACATTCAAAGTGAGAAAGACAAACAAAATTATTGAATAAGTGGTTGCCCTGATCTCATGCCAAAGTATGGTTAAACCATTCTAGGCTAAAACAAAATGGATATTCTAATAATTTGATAATTTTGAGTAAACTTATGAATATTTTTAATTCATTCATTTCTTGAAAAGGAATATTAAAATATTTACAGTAAAAACATGAAATAATTATTGGAGAGATTTATAATTTAAAAACAACTGAGTGGGCAGGGGGAGGGGGCTCCCTAGTGGCCTAGGGATTAATTATCAGCATTATCACTACAATGATCCGAGTTTGATTCCCTAGCCAGGGAGCTGACCCACATATGCCTCAGCAGACCTCTCCTGTCTCGTCAGCTGCCCCTCTTAGCTGTGTATTTCAGTCAATCCACCTGTTCTGCTTTTAACTCTGTCTCTGGTGAGTCCTCTCACCCCTTGTACCTCTGGCTTACATCCCAGTTCTTCCATGCAAAAATAAATAAATAAAATCTTTAAAAAAAAAACAACTAAGTTAAAGATAGATCAATTCCCTAATACAATTATTGTAATGTTATAATTACTTATATAAACTGATTTATAACCATTATTTGATGTTACAATAGTCCTCTCCTATGCCTACATAAAATCTCCAATGCTTTTTCATTATGCTGGAAAATTTATGTTCTCTCTGAGCAGTTAGAAAAACAAAACCTAACAGGAAAGATTAGGGCAAAACAGGCAAAAAAAAAAGAAAAAAAAAGGCTAGAAGCACCAGGGAGGCCAGTGCCTGTTGTCCTGCAGGCAGGGCTAGGAGAATCATTCCAGCAATATACTTACAGTCTCAGGAGTGCCTTATAGAAGGGTCTTGTGAAGAAAGCATCAAGAAGGTATTGATGGATCAGGGCCAAGCCTAGGATACGACCACTAAATCTGAACCTGGAACATAGACAAGGCAGAGAAATTTGTTACTGAAACTTATTTGTGATTAGCTTGCAGTAAAGGAACTGCCCTTTTCTTCCAAATACCAGAATAGAATTATCGTTTTTCCAGAATCTCCTACTAGAACCAGGAATATGAGATTCCAAGAGAAGAAACGTGCTAGTGAAAATGAATTCCAGAATCTTAGATGAATAGCCCATATTGAGCTTGAGGTGGAACTGAACACACAGACACAGAAAACTTTCTGAATCATCTATCTTTTCCCATTTAAGCATTCTAAAGATACTACCTGGATATTATGCCTGGAGGTGAGGTTCTGAGTATGAATTACATCTGGCAGTTGTGCCTACAGTCAATGGGAAGAATTACACAGCATTCTTGTTGTGTTAAGAAATAAGCTGAACCTACACTGCTCTTTAGTCTTCCCAGACACATACACAGAAAGAACAAGGAAGAATTGGTCACAGAGACATGGCCATTTCCAGATATAAGGTTCCTTAGGAAAAATAGCATCTAGTGGGTGTTGTCTGTTTTTGGCACTTACTTCTATAGCTGGACTCTCCCTGGTTTCTTTCTACCAAAAAAAGATTTTCACACAAGCATGGGTTTAGTTGTGACTCTTCTTAGATCCTCCCAGTTGGAATTTTTCCCTAATCCATCTCCACTGTCTTTCATAAGACACTTTTTAAACTCAAAAGTGTTCCTTCTCTATAACTTCTGTAACAATTGTTAAAATGAATAGATTATTCAATCTTGTAAAATAAGCGTAATTATAAACAACAAAACTGCAAATTGGCATGTTTGAAGTAGCAGAGTTGCTGTGGTCCTTAGCGTTTATTGGAACTACTTTTGAAATTCACTCAGTGTTCTTTAGTCCCTACACTAGCAAAGTCACTTTGGGAATTTGCCTTTGGGCTTAGGAGAAGTTACCCCATTCATTCACATCTGACCCAGCGGCTCTGTTGGTCACATTGGTTTGTTGTGCCATTCTTCTGCTTATCCTGGACTGTATAACTTCAGAGGACCCAGCTTTCCTGCTGGGATTTTGTTTTCTGTTGGCTTTCCTTTGCAAGCACATCAGTCATGTCCATATATGTCTGACTCTAATAAGGAGTACCAATCAATTTCTTTTTACAAGAGGGTCTCAGGCACCAGATTCATCACACATACAAGTGCCTAGAATGAGTAGATGACTGAGAACAAAAGCGATAAGCCATATGCCTGACTGCATATACCAGACATTGATAAATCCACGTGCCAGTAATACCACACTGGATCTTACTGGAAACCCCCCGCTAGCATTAGAAGGTAGACTGCAACCTTTCCTCTATTCCAGCCACCTGAAGGATAAACACCCTGGTGTGTCAGGAATGGGGACTCCTTTTTAAGCAATCCTCAAGAGGGAGAGGAGATAGGTTGCCTTTGGCTCTGTCTTGCATGTCATGTGAAAATTTCCAAGGAGATTCAGATATGACTTAAGATACTTAAGAGATGTATTCTTGACTTTTTAAAAATACATGAACCATTTTTTAATATTTTATTTTATATAATTCTTACATCATTTTTCATTTTTGCACAATGTATGCATTTTCATTCTCACTGGTGTAAGATGGTATCTCATGGTAGTTTTGATTTGCATTTCCCTGATGACAAGAGATGTTGAACATTTTTTCATATGCCTGTTGGCCATTTGTATTTCCTCTTTGGAGAAATTTCTTTTTAGCTCTTCTGCCCACTTTTTGACTGGATTATTTTCTTTGTTGTTGTTGAGTCTCATCAGCTCGTTGTAGATTTTTGTGATCAGTCCTTTATCATTAGTGTTGTGTGCAAAAATGTTATCCCAGTCGGTGGGGTTTCTCTTTGTTTTTGTTTTTGTCTCTTTTGCTGTGCAGAAGCTCTTCAATTTGATGTAGTCCCAGCTGTTTATCTTTGCCTTCACTATCACTGCTTTGGGTCCTTCCTTCCTTCCTTCCTTCCTTCCTTCCTTCCTTCCTTCCTTCCTTCCTTCCTTCCTTCCTTCCTTCCTTCCTTCCCTCCCACCCACCCTCCCTCCTTCTTTCCTTCCTTCCTTCATATGCCAAGGCCTAGCATGATAGTTCCTCTATCAGGTTCACCAATAAGATATCCAAAGCTTTCCCCACCTACTAGCATTCCCACCTGGAAAGGAGATCAGATAATATGTTGGAGAGTTGTAAAGAAGCTGGACACTTGGGTCTTGATACTTGGTCTTGGGTCTTGATACCTTTGGAAGGGGATGAGATTAAGACAGATGAAAGAACACATCCTGCACACAGACTGCAGACTTTGAGGGTCTTTTCCAAGTGTCATTGCATCTTCTGGGACATAAATTCCTGTCAGAACTGGCACTGTGCTGGAAAATCTGAGGGACTCAAAACATTTTATTGTGTCAATGAACGAAGCTAGAAGGATGATAAAACTGCATCCCTGCTTGAATTCCCCTAGGATATCATTGCAGTGTTCTGCCTTCCAAATCATGACTCTGCGACTGCATCAATCTGTGCACTGCCCACTTCATGCAGTCTGACAGCCAGGTAGTTTGTGTCAACTGAGTTCTAGAAGAGTCTGTAGCAATCATGTTTTCTATCCCTGTTACTTCCTGGAAATGGACCAGAACTTGCAGGAGGTAAAGTCCTTTCAGAAGTTTGTTCATCCTTGGCACTACTGATACTTGTTGTCCTGTGCATTGTAAGATGTTTATTTTTTTTAAAGATTTATATATTTATACAAGAACTGGGGGACCAGGCCAGATGTGCGGGAGGGTGAGAGAATTCACCAGAGACAGAGTGGGGAACAGAACAAGCAGACTGATGAAATACACTGCTGAGGGGAGCAGTGGGCGTGACAGGAGAGCTCTGCTGTGCCACGTGGGTGTCTCCACAGCTGGCCGAGATCGAACCCGCACTGCAGAGACTGCAGACAGCTTCACAGCACTGCGCTCAACTGCCTGTGCCACCAGGGAGGTCCAAGCATCATTAGATGTTTAATATTACCCAGGTATTAATGCCGGTAGCATTCTCCTCCCCACCAAGTTATGACAATCAAAGCTGTCTCCAGACATTGCCAAATGTTTCCAGTGGGCGGTGGAGGTAAAGACTTAAGAACCACTGGAAAAATGGAATAGAGAGACTGGAATCAACCCCTCTCCTAAAAACAGCTATAAAAAAAGGACTGATATGAGCTCCTGGCAAAACCCAGACTCTTTAAACTGGCTGTACAGTACCCAGACAACTGGTGTACAGGGAGTTCAAGAGCCAGAAAAAGATCCCATTCTCTGCACAGGGAAGGGCATCCCACCTGGCCGCCAGCTGACTCCTCCCAGCAGACCAGGTCTCAGTCCAGGCCTCCTAGCATCCTACCCTGCATCTGAGACCCTCACACACCCACAGGTGAGCATCATTGACCCCAGTGTCAGCATCCAGCACCTCAGGAGAGGACAGCGCCCTGAACCACAAAATTGTTTTTTAAATAAATTTTATTTTTATATTCCCCATACAATTGCAACCCCCTTATTTTGACTCCAATCCCTCCCCTCCCCGCCCCCCACCACCCATAGAGTGTCTCTGGTTCATAGTTGTTTGTTGACTTTGATTTTCACTTTCTTATAGTTATTCATTTTCCTGGTCCCTTATTTAAGTTTTCTAGATTCCTGCTATGAGTGAGACCATCTGGTATTTTTCTTTTTCTTTCTGGCTTATTTCGCTGAGCATGATCCTTCCAGCGCCATCCATGTTGCTGTAAATTGCATGTGTTTATCTTTTTTGAATGCTGAGTAATATTCCATGGTGTATATGTACCACATCTTCTTGATCCAGTCATCTATTTTTGGGCATTTGGGTTGTTTCCAAAGCTTAGCTATTGTAAATAGTGCTGCTATTTACAATAGGGTGTAGGGTTTTTAAAATAATTTTTTTTTTATCCTGAGCTGCAACCTGGAGGGACAGAGCATTCAATGTAGAAGTGCATCACACTCAGCCTTCTGGCACCTCACAGCAGACTGGACAGCCAGCTGTCAGCTCCTCCATGAGAACTGAGCCTCAAGGGGCAATCTTTTTTAACTATTTTTTCTGAGACACAACTTTAAAGGTACGAGCAGTTCAACACTGACTTTGGTTACAGCACCACAATGAGCCTTTTGGCACTACCCAATGATCAGACCAAAACACCAGGCACAGCTCCTCCAGAGTTGACAGAGTACTGCATCACAAGCAGTTCTACTTTTTCCCCCTCTTTTTTTCTCTTCCATTTTATTTTTCTTTCTTTCTCCTCATCCCTCTATTCTTCCTTCTCATTTTTCTTTCGTTGTTTCTTTTCTTTCTTTTTTTTCTGTCCTTTCCCATCCTTTTTCTTTCTTCTTCTTTTCTCTTTTTCCTGAACTGCAACTTAGTGGGACGTAGCAGTTCAACATGGAATTGCATCTCATTCAGCTTGCAGGCACCTCCCAGTGGACTGGGTCCCAACGCAGGTTTTGTGGTGCTAAGCCAGGCATCAGGAGCTTTTAGTTACCCCAGGTGAGTGCCCTGGATCCCAGACCAATTTCCAGCTCCTTGGGAGTGGACTGAACCTTAAACCTCAAACTTTAACGATCTAGCAGTTCACTGTCTGCCACCAAATACACCAGGAGGCACATACACTCAACTTGCCAGCACCACCTAGAAGATCAGGCTACAGACAGAGCCTAACAGTGCCTTCCTGTGCATTGGAAACCCTTGGTAACCACCAAGTGAGCACCCATAGTCCCAGAACCACCTCCCAGCAACATGGTAGTAGACAGAAACCAAGCCTGCAAATTTGCAGGACTTATCTGTTTATTGTGCCCCCTGGCAGTACTGGGAAGTATATTCTACTCGACATGCTGGTGCTGCCTAGCAGACTGGGGCCAAACTGGCCCTCGTAGTGCTGTGCATCAGGTACCCTCAATCAGGAACTTTCAGAAATCTTGGGCAACCCCTTGCCTTCCTGGTCAATGGAGAAGGATC